AGACATTCTAGTACCAGGTTAAATAAAGGTGTTGAAGGGCAGCAACCGCTCCTTGATTCCTGATCTTACAGGAAAAGCTTTCAATCTTGTATCGAGTATGATGTTAGTTGTGGACTTTTCATATACGGTTTTTATTATGCTAGTAGTTTTCCTTCTATTCCTAGTTTGCTGAGATTTTTTAATATGAACAACTCCGTAGAAATGTACTTTGTACCTTAAGAAAAATGAAACAATAACCCAGAACCTTTAACTCAGGAGCAAAATGAATTGAAAACAGGCTGGGCACAGTGGCTCATGCCTATAATCCCAGCATGTTGAGAGGCCGAGGTGGGAGGATTGCTTACGCCCAGGAGTTCAAGACCAGCCTGGGAAACATGGTGAGACCCAGTCTCTACCAAACACTTAAAATCAGTCAGGCATGGTGGAACGTGCCTATAGTCCCAGCTACTTAAGAGGCTGAGTTGAGAGGATCTCCTGAGCCCAGGAGGCTAAGGCTACAGTGAGCTATGACCATGCCACCACACTCTAGCCTAGGTGACAGAGCAAGACCTTGTCTCAAAAAAAAAAAAACACACACAGCAAGATATTAGTCTTCCCACAATGAAAAATCCTTTTTTAACTGCAATCAAGTGCTGTTGAATACTATATAAAGCAGCTTTGATTGTAATATATGAAAAGTTATACCTGGCTCCTTAGCTTGCTTTTGGAGGTTCCAAAATGTTGTCATTCTAAACTTTTTTCTTTTTAAGTACTTCCTTACAGATCTTAAAATCTTACATGGACACACACATATTATGCATTATATGATCCTATTTCATTTCAAGTCTTATAAAATTTAATACTACTTAGCTAACAAGGTGTAAACTAGAAAACTATGACAATGTCCAAAAAGCAAATGACCTAATAATAGCTTAAGCTTTATGTGGTCCACACAAAATATCCTACTAGGTTTGCAAATCATTTATCCAACTCACTAAAATGTAAGGTAAATACAATACAATCCAAGGTACTTCCTTACATAGTAGTCAGGGAAGTACTGTCATCAGAGAATGACTTAGGTCTCCACTTCAAACCGATAAGGAGACAGGACAAAATAAACGTTACAAGGCAAGCAGCACACATTAAGTGGTAGAAAGAATGACCTGCACAATTAAGTTCAGAGGAAAGTGTACTCAATGTGAACTGAGATGGTAAGAAAAGTTCTTAAAAGGTCAGTCTTGGATAATGGTTTCAATGGCAAGACCAGTGCCAACAAGTAAGCCGGGAAGGTAGACTGCCATCAAGAAGCTCTTTCAGTGGCTAGCTCAGTGATCTTTAAACCTCTGTTAGAAGGACACACCCTACCCACAAAGGTCTTCTCTAACCTTCAGCTCTAAGTGGGAGAAGTGCTTCAAGTATATTAATGGCTTATGACATCTATAATTACCTTATGGATGATCTGTGCACTTATATTTGTCTTCACATTTGAAGACTGGCTCCTTGGGAAGAGGAGCTAGGTCTATCTTATTTGCTGCTACACCCCAGCCCCTAACTATCCAGGCCCTGGCAGACAGTCAATAGATATCTGCTGAGTGACTGAAAGCCAGCAATCACAGTAGAGGACAGGGCAGGATCTAATTGGAAAACATTAGGGAAAATGGAAAACAGGCTGGGTGCTGTGGCTGACACCTGTAATCTCAGCACTTTGGGAGGCCAAGGTGGGCAGATCACTTGAGGTCAGGAGTTCGAGATCATGACCAACATGGCAAAAACCTGTCTCTAGTAAAAATACCAAATTAGCTATGTGTGGTGGCCCACGCCTGTAATTCCAGCTACTCGGGAGGCTGAGGCCGGTTCAAGTGAGGAGAATCACTTGAACCCAGGAGGCGGAGGTTGCAGTGAGCAAAGATGGCACCACTGCACTCCAGCTTGAGCGACAGAATAAGACTCCGTCTCAAAATAAAAAGGGTTTGTCAGGGGAGAGAGAGAGAACAGGAACACAGACCAAACCAGTCTTTCTGTAAGTTCAACAATAAAGATAAATAAAACCAGAGTTAGAAAGAAACATAGGCCCAAGGAAGATGTTGATATTGACCCTCAGATTGAAGGAGAAAAATGAGTTGGTATTTCAGCTGGTCCATGAAAAAGAGAATTACTCTGCAGATATATGAAGAAGACAGAGAAGCAGCTTTTCAGAAGAGAAAAAACAGTTGAACCAAAGCTGAAGGATCAGAAGCAAGCATGGCAAGTTATCGGGGGCAATGTGGCCTGTCTGAAACAAAATATGCACTCTAGCGTCAAGTACGAAAGCCAGCCAGGTAAGGAGGGGTAGTGTAAGACTGCAGAAGGCCTCCAACAGAAATGTGGCCTAAGTTCCATATCCAGTGCATTCTGATATTTTTGTTACCGTTTCAGAGGAGAAACTTTACGCAGTAACGAGGAAGTTATTCAAAGGAAGATGTCGCAAGATCCACTGAAATTTTAGTATAAAATTTGGTAGGACATTTCTGTCATGAAAGACTTTACTCCTTTCCTTCTCCTAACTAATATTCCATGTCATATGCAAACCTGCTAGTTGACAATAATGAATCCTGACGTCTGACTTTTTCTAACATACAAGCAACAGGAGCTGTAGGATGACCACACACATCACTCTGATCATTAATGGCATGCAAGTCTGATGGAAACAATGTCTATTCTTCATGGCTCATTTGAAGGGAAAAGCAACAGAAGAAACTATACTATAAAGGAAAAACCACTACGCAGTCCTTTAACAAAGAACTGGAGTAAAAGACCTTTTATACTCTATCTACGCTTTAGCAAAAGACAAACACTTGCATAGAAAATTAGCACGGGCTGGGTGCAGTGGCTCACACAGCACTTTGGGAGGCTGAGGCAGGAAGACTTACCAGGAGTTTGAGACCAGCCTGGACAACACAGAGACCTTGTTCCTAAATATATGCATATATGTATATGTGTGTGTGTGTGTGTGTATTATATACATACATGTGTGTATACATGTGTATGTATATAAATTATATATGTCTGTGTATACATGTGTATGTATATATGTGTGCATATGTAGATATACATACAATCTGTGTGTATATACACATACCTATATAAATGCATACGTGTGTATACATATATAAAACACATATATGTATGTACATATATAAAACACATAATAGTGTAAATATATAAAACATATACGTATATATGTGGTTTTTAACCAGCCAGGCATGCGGTGGCATGCACCTATGGTCCTGGCCCCTCAAGAGGCTGAGGTGGGAGGATTAATTGAGCCCAGGAAGTCAAGGCTACAGTGTGCTGTGATCATGCCACTGCACTACAGCCTGGGCGACACAAGACTCTGTCTCAAAAAAAAAAAGGAAAGAAAAAAGAAATAGCACAGTTAATGACCATTACAAACCAATATGCACCCAAAGAGTAAATACAAGGCCAGGCACAGTGGCTCACGCCTGTAATCCCAGCACTTTGGAAAGCCGAGATGGGTGGATCACTAAGTCAAGAGATCAAGACCATCCTGGCCAACATGGTGAAAACCCATCTCTACTAAAAATACAAAAAAAAAAAAAAAAAAAAAAAAAAAAAAAAAAAAAGCTGGACATGCTGGCACACATCTGTAGTCCCAGCTACAAAGGAGGCTGAGACAGAGGAATCACTTGAACCTGGAAGACAGAGGCTGCAGTGAGCCAAGATCACGCCACTGCACTCCAGCCTGGCAAAAGAGCAAGAACCCATCTCAAAAAAAAAAAATTAAATACAAGTTTTTCATCCTCAGCCCCAAAAATCATAAAATGATTTTTCTATGATGAATTATAAGATTTTGTTTGGAACTTTGTATGCTCTTATGCCTCTATTTTTCCCTGACAACCAATTACTGCCTTATTACCATATTTTCAGAGATTACAAAGTATATTTTAAAGTTATCTAGTTAAGTGTTTATTGTATCATCTAGCATTCTAACTTGTTTAAATATACAAATTTAACTATTTTGCAAGAAAAAACAAAATGAATACAGAATGTAACATTTGCTAAATATTTCACAATTATGATTCACATCAGTATTTTTACCTATTTCGCTCAATTACAATGAGCTTTCTCAGAATGTATGTTTTGCAAATAGTCTTGTCTGATCTATTTTTCCTGTTTTCATTAGAGGGGACAGTGACTCGGCTTCTAATTGGCCTGAAAGTTAAGCTGAAGAATAAAAGCAACATGGTTATTTTTAGAGCTCTACAGGCATAAAAATACAGCACTAAACTGTGACCTACAGCTCTGCACAGCAAAGCATCACATCATGCGAGTCTTCAGTTTAGCTAGGAGCACATCTGTGGGCTTCAGACGACCACTCTTCATTTCATTACCAAAGACATGTCGGAATGCATTTAGGACCAGCATCCACAGCTGCTGGCATTTTTCTTCAAATAGACTGAGCTACATTCAAAAGGCAGACCATTATATAACTTGTGAAGATTAAACAGTTATTCTGTCATTTCTTCCAGCTTACTTACAAGGTGAATTAACGAGCGTTCTCTCCAGATGAAGACAGCACAATCTCATTCCTAACACAGAACGTTATTTATTTCAAATGCAGTTTCGGTGGGTAAATAAGGCGGCACATTCCTTCAACAAAGGACGCATCCAGGAAAGCAAGGCATGCCGGAGTGAAACACAGCTTTCCCACCACTTTCAGTCAACTCTGGCAACATCGCACCAGCCCATCAACTTAACAGGTAAGCTTTAAACCTTTTCTGCACAAAACATAAATCAAAAGTATCTTTAGCACTTGCCCCAACATTAATATTTTAAGCCTCCTAAGAACTTTCAAGAGCAAGTGTTGCTGTTATTTTCAGATAGCCTTCGGCCTATAGATCATCTCTGACTCTGTGTTTCTAATTTCTGCTTAGCTACATACAAGCATTTTCAAAGCTTGGTTTCTGCCACTGACCCAGTTAAAAATTGAGACGTTAATCCATGTTCTAATCTTATTTTGACCTACATATCTCACCAGTGAAAAAAAATCATGCATTTTTCAGGCAAATTTATTGTAAAGAAACAATAACATCAGAACCATAACATTTTGTGCAAATAAGTGAAAATATTTCCATAGGCTAAAAATGCCGCTTTTTGGCTGGATGAAGTGGCCCAAAAACGATTCCGACAAACCTGCACACTGTCCTGGCTCAGACGTGGTGACAAAGACTCTGTTTCGGGAATTAAGATGGCACTTAAAGGAGCGAGAGAGATTAATACAAGAAATCGAAAATGAACAAAGAGTGAAAAAAACAGGTGTGGATTACAACTGGCTCAGAAGCTACCAGAACCCCCACATAACTATCCCGGTGACTGAACAAAGACAACTTGAAGTTCTCTGCTCACAAGTTCAACCTTGCCAAACTGGAACTATTCTCAGCAGGTAAGAATACTATGTTCTCTTGTGATACTTGCTACTTCTAAGTTCCTCACACATTCTGACTGGAAATTGTATTCTATCATGTAAATTATTTAGCTGTGTAGATATCTGGTGAGAAATTGTTTTAAATTACCTTCAAAATTTCTTCACTAGAAGTATTTTAATTTTTTTCATCCTCCCACTACCAGTATAGAAGCATAATTTTAAAACAACATGCATATTACTCAAAAGGTAGGTAACTAGTATACAAGTACATTATTCAAGCTGTATTCTGGAGATACAGAGATGTAACAAAAAAGGTCCCAAACTCAATATTCATTACCACATTCCTCTAGATTTCGAGAAGTTCTGGCTGAAAATGATGTATTGCCATGGGAAATAGTCTGCATCTTCAAGCAGGTTCTGACAGACTTCCTAAGCAGCCCTGACAGAGGGAGTGAGCAGGAGGACCCGGAGGACTCAGGGAGCGTGGACTGCCTTGCTCCTTCTGCCATCCCAGGTGAAAGCTCCAAGAGGGCAGACAAAGACGAAATACCCACGATTTCCAGTTACGTAGACAAAAACACAAAAGACAGGTTCCCAGTGTTCTCACACAGAATATGGAACCTACCATATTATCACCCATCTAGTTAAGTGACTTATAACTAGAGGAGTTTTTGTGACCACCTTAGAATCAGAACTCTTACTATTAAGATAAAGTAATGTAACTTTAAGTTTCTCCTCCTTGCAAGGTCGGTATCCTGTGGATGTGTCCTGTGTTTTAAACTGTATTCTTTTTTTCAACCACTCTAAACAGGCTATGTTTTCACTGAATAGTAGCTTTTAACTAAAATGTTTCCTAAATATTTTGAAAAAATGTTTCAAGTATTTTCCTATACCTCAAATCCACCTCACAGGAACTAAAGTAACTTTATTTAGTATGAAGTTTGACAAATTCTGTACAAAACTTAAGATATTTACCTTGACTTTTATTCCAAAAGGAAGCTATGTATAGAATTAAATAAATGATTAATGTGAATCTTATCTTTACAATATAACAAAAATGAGACATCAACATCCCATTTTGTGATCGTCCTTCTCAGCAGGGGATGGGGAGAAGGGCGGTGAGGGAGAAAATAACATGTAGTTTAAAAATAAAACAGGGCTTTAACCCAACACTCAGCTTTGTTTTTTCATTCAAGAAGGAGTCTCGCTCTGTTTCCCAGGCTGGAGTGCAGTGGCCGGATCTCAGCTCACCGCAACCTCTGCCTCCCAGGTTCCAGCAATTCTCCTGCCTCAGCCTCCTGAACAGCTGAAATTACAGGCACACGCACCACACCCCACTAATTTTTGTATTTTTAGTAGCGACGAGGCTTCACCATGTTGGTCAGGAGGTCTCAGCTTTGTTTTCACCACAGTACTTTTAAGCTCAACATTAAAGGAAAGTATAATAAAACTCAGCCCTATGTTGTATTAGTAAAAATACATAGACGGATTTAGCAACATGAGTAGCTGCTACTCTCAAACAAAAACATTCTCTGTTGGTGAGCAATTGAAACTTATACTCAGGTAAAACAGCAAAATATATATAAAATCTGCCTTTTATTAACTTTGTTAAAAGTAGGAAACTATATATCAGTCAGATTTATTCTTCTGATAAAGGGTTAGAATTCACAATTAAAGTAGGTCCAGCCAGGCATGGTGGCTCATGCCTGTAATCCCAACACTTTGGGAGGCCAAGGCGGGCAGGGATCACAAGGTCAGGAAATCGAGACTATCTGGCCAACATGGTGAAACTCCATCTCTACTATAAAATACAAAAATTAGCTGGGCATGGCGGTGGTCACCTGTAATCCTAGCTACAGAGGGGCTGAGGCAGGTGAATCACCTGAACCCAGGAAGCAGAGGCTGCAGTGACCAGAGATCGTGCCACTGCACTCCAGCCTGAATGACGAAGCCAGACTTCATCTCCAAGCAAAAAAAAGGTAGGTTCGAGGAACCTAACTATAACTTTACATTTGAAGATTTAATGGTTTTCTTTCATCTAAAAAGAAAAATATGTATGTATCAAAATTGGAATTACCTGGGTGTGGTGGCACATACCTGTAGTCCTGCCTACTCAGGAGGTTGAGGCAGGAAGCTCACTGGAACCCAGGAGTTCAAGCCTGCAGTGAGCGATGTCGCACCACTGCCCTCCAGCCTGAGCAAGAGCTTGTCTAAAAAAAAAAAAAAAACACCTTTTTTCAAAAAGACTAGAACTAAACATACACTACAAAAAAAAACACCTTCTAACTTTATTCTCCCTGCATTCTTTGCCAACTGTATCATTTTCAACTGACCTCAATTTGGTCTTAAATCCCAATCATGTAATGCAACCACCTGATTTGGGTTTAACAAGACCATGTAAACAAACACAGTCCCAAGGAGATTTAAAATAAAGATACCTCTCATTCCTGCTCTCAGATTTTTCAGTTTTCATACATACTACCTTTGGCTTCTTTAGTCACTGTAAGATTTCTTAGAGTGGAAACCATTTGCGGGAGAGACAAATGCCCCAAAAAAGTACACAACTGCTTATTGTGCAGTGAATATAGAAACTAGCAAATGTGAGGGGTTTTTTTGTTTGTTTTTGTTTTTCTTTTTTTTGAGATGGAGTTTCGCTCGTTACCCAGGCTGGAGTGCAATGGCACGATCTCGGCTCACCACAACCTCCGCCTCCTGGGTTCAGGCAATTCTCCTGCCTCAGCCTCCCGCGTAGCTGGGATTACAGGCACGCACCACCGTGCCCAGCTAATTTTTTTTTTTTTTTTGTAGCGCGGTGGCTCACGCCTGTAATCCCAGCACTTTGGGAGGTTGAGGCGGGTGGATCACAAGATCAAGAGATCAAGACCATCCTGGTCAACATGGTGAGACCCCCGTCTCTACTAAAAAAAAGGCAAATGTGAGTTTCAAGAAAATATCATTGCCTTAATGGTGAGAACAAATTTTTCATTTAAAGAAACATGGAGAACGTGAAGTTTGTATATGAAGGCCAGTACCAGAACTGCTCATCCCACCGTACATACCAGGAAACACACGCCATGAAGAAGTGCAAATCATTTCCTTCTTTCTCCAAGGCTCCTCAGGCAGCCACTGGACAACACCATGCCACTTTCAGGAGTCATCCTCTGTATTCAGACAGGAAGGAATAACTCCCGGCAAAAAAAATTCTGGTGATGGAAGCAGCTATGGACAGTTATATCACTCCACTAGTTCAGGATGAAATTGAATCCCAGCCACTCTAAGTTCACCCACATGCAATTAATTAGTTTCCAGCCAAGCTTGAAAAGGGAAAGGAAAACTACATTTAGTTTTGAGTTTCTATCTCCCATATTCACATCCTGTGAAAGCACTGGTCTCTGCAATTTAAAACCGTAGTTATTTCTGGAAAGCCCATATGTCAAATAGAAACTTTAATACAAATGACTTCCTGAATATTGACAGATCCATGTATTTATACACTGGACTCTTTATAATACCTAAAGCTGGCAAAGGAATCAGGATCAAAAATATAGGGAAAGACTGGGAATGCTTCAGGTGTGTTTTATCAAAAGAATGTAGCACTAGTTCAAGAGCTACAATTTTAAGCTAGGGAACAAAGAATAAATGAAGCCACATAAAAGCATCCTGCATAATCCCTGACATATAATAGGCTCTCAAGGTACCATTACTAGCCACCCCCATCCATTTAATATTATTAATGTAATTCTTTTGCATGCCAGGCACATACTAAGCACTATGAGTGTATTCTCATTTAATCCTATCCTTGTAAAGGACGTGGTATATTCCCATATGACAGATGGGCAAACTGCCTCAGATATATCCAATGGCTTGCCGGTACAGTGGTAACTGGCAGAGCTGAGATTGACATCCAGGTTGCTGTGTCCCTCCCCCAACTTATCTCTGAGTTCCAAATGCACAGAGTCAATTGCCTATGTGATGCCTCCTCTTAGATGCTCACAGGCAACTTGAAAATCAACATGTTCATCCTTCAGTACACTCCATACAAAAAAGAAAATGTAAAAAAAAAAAAAAAGAAACACCAATATGTTCAAAATCAAAGTCACAGAGGTTTTTTTTCCTCAAGGGACAAACAGAATTCAAGAAAGGAACCACCTAGTACCAATACACGCACACCCTCTAAAAGCTTAGTTCTTCAAACATCATCAACTAGTTCGTTTTTTGCTTGTTTCTTTCTTGTTCCCAAGCTGGAGTACAATAACGTGATCTCGGCTCACTGCAACTTCTACCTCCCAGATTCAAGCGATTCTCGTGCCTTCAATTAGTATTTTCTATCTCAGTAAATGTCTACTCAATTCTATGAGCCAGAAATCTCAAAATCATTCTGGTCCCCCCTTGGGATGGGGGAGGGGCCAAAAACACAATCACAAGTCACAGCGGTAACTGGCAGAGCTGGGTTTTGGCTGTTACAAACAAGAATGGATGGAGGCAGGAGTTCAGTGCTTAGAGAAGGTAAACAGTTGTTTAATAGACTAGAGAGACTAGGAAAGAAGGTGGGGGAGGGCTGCTTTAGCTACAGAGGTCAGAGGAAACTTCTCTAAGGAGACATCTGAACAGGGTCCCAAATGAAGAAATGAGCCTGTCATGGGAAGGGGGCGAGGGGAAACACTGAACACAGAAGAGTCAATGTGGAAGCTGCCAAGTGGGAATGAGCTTGCTATCTTCAAGACAATGTGACCAGGGTGCAGCAAGAGAGCAGCAGGTGAGGAGGTGCCCGATGGAGGAACGCTGGCCAAGCCTAGATGCAGAGTCAGACGAAATTTTGTCCTAACAGCAGTCGATGCCACAGGAGGTCACACATGTGCTCAAAGAACCTCAGGTGTGAAGGTTTACTCAAGAATCTGTTCGTTCAACAATTTTTTTAAAGAGACAGGCTCTTGCTCTGTTGCCCAGGCTGGAGTACAGTGGTGCAATCAGAGCTCACTGCAGCCTCAAACTCCTGGCCTCAAGTGATCCTTCTGCGTCAGCCTGCCCAGTAGCTGGGACTGCAGGCAGGCATCACAACACCCAGCTAATTTTGTAGTACTCTGTAGAGACAGGGTCTCCCTATGTTGCCCAGGCTAGTGTTGAACTCCTGGTCTCAACTGATCCTCCCACCTCAGCTTCCCAAAGCACTGGGATTATAGGCATGAGCCACTATGTCAGGCCATCATTCAACAAACATTAACTAAGCATCTACATCATGCCAGGCATTCTTCTAGGTGCTAGATTATTGGGGGTTAGGGTTGAAAACTCAGGAGACCAAACATAGAAGGTTTTTGCAATAATCCAGGCAAGAGATGAGGGCAGTGGTTTGGTCTAGGTGGTGACAATGTAAACCAGGAGCAGCACTCTTATTTTGGAAATATTTTATAATACACTTGCCAGGATATTGTGATTTTTATTGTTTGATTCTATACCTAAATACACACTCTGATACACTCCTTAGGAAAATCCACTATGGCCAGAAGAGTAAGACAGAGATTTATGATTTGATCCAGACAGGAATGCATGAGGAAACAACTTTCACCATGTCTAGAATAAGGATATGACATATTGTAGGCATTCAGTAACTGGGGTCTCCTAGGTTGAACATGGTGGCTCATGCCTATAATCCTGGCATTATGGGAGGCCAAGGTGGGAAGATCACTTGAGCCCAGGAATTTGAGACCAGCCGGGGTAACACAGTGAAATTCCATGTCTACTAAAAAAATTTTTTTAATTCGCAAGGCATGGTAGCATGCACCTGTGGTCCAAGATACTCAGGAGACTGAGGTGGGAGGATCACTTGAGCCCAGGAGGTCAAGGCTGCAGTGAAACATGACTGCACCACTGCACTCCATCTGGCGCAACAAAGGAAGACTGTCTCAAAATGGTCATAATTATCCCCAGTCATTACCTTGCTTCCATTTTCACATAGTAAATAGGTAAAATCACTCTGCCACGCTTATCTACTCACAGACCAAATGCCTTGCCTTCCCTCTAGTAAAAAAAATATTATTATTGTGGCCTCCTAGGACATTCATTCAAACAAATAT